AATTATTGAAAATGAAACTTAAATTCTTTTAATTTATTATGTTCTGAATTTTTTAAAATATGGTTAAATAATTTATTATTAGGCTCTATTAGTTAAATAAAATGAAATTAAAATAATATTTTTAATTATATTCTTTTTCTTTGATTTAGACTTATTTAGATTATTTACACATTATTGTAATTTAAATTTTTTTATACTTCTAATTTAAAAAAAAAATTATGGAGTTATAGTATTTAAGTAATATATCAAATAAGAAAATTTTTTTCTCTTACAGTCTAATGAATTTTTTTTGAAAAAAATAAGCTATAAAATTTTGAATTAATGAAAAAATAGCTATTTAGGCATATTTGCTATCATTTTTATTTTCAGCTTTTATATATTAAAGATGAAATAAAAAGAAAATTCACGAGCTCTCTTTTTATTTAATATTTTATTCTACTTTTTTTAAAAAAACTTATAGAATTTTATTTAATTTTCTATGATTTAATTGAATGCATTTTTTTAAAATAGTTATAAAAATAATTAGACATTTGAGATTTTTAATTGTTTTCTAAATATTTCCTTAAATAAATATACAGTACTTTGAAATTTTTGAATTTAATCTCATTTATGTCTATCTATAAACTTGAGGAAGATATTCCATTACCAATATTATTGTTTGCACATTGATGTCTATATGGAACTTTAAATAATTTATTTTTAGATTTTGTGTAAAACATATAGAGTCTAAAATATTAAATATTATTGATGAAATTTCAACTTAACTTTATTTGACAAAAAATTGATGTGAAGATCAAATTTATGTTTTATATTGTGGCTATATAGGAAGTATTGATTTATTAGATTAATGTTGTAGCATCGCCAAATTATAAAATATTTTGCCTATGATAAATTCAAATTTTTCGTTATCTTATATAATTAATTAATAATAAAATTATATTTTTTTATTAAATATATAGAGAAGCAAAAATATTATTTTCTTTTCAATTAGATGTTACATTGTAAGATATGTTAAAAAAATATTCATATTATTTTCTTTTCAATTAGATGTTACATTGTAAGATATGTTAAAAAAATATTCATTATATTTATTTTAATCTAAATAAAAATTTGCACTTCAATATTATATAAATAAAAAAAAATTAAACGAGTATATGACGATGAAAATCAACGTGAATCGCATGTCAACGTGAATCGCATGTCAATGCATATAAATATTGAAGATTATGAAATGTAAAGCTTAAAGAACATAAAAGTTTTAACCGTTTTCATACTAAAAGGTACATTTATGTGGTAGGACATATTAGAAGCTCTTAAATCAAATTGGATAATTAGAGAATGAATTATTTATTGAATATTATGTAACACCCAACTCGAATGGGAAGGAATTTTAGTTAAATACCGTAACTTTAGAGGATGAAAATGGGAGAATGATTAATAAAAAGGGGTTAAAGAGGTGATTAGATATAAGATACGGGGGCATTTGGGCCCCACATGAACAGTTCAACCCGGTACCAAACCGAATCGATGCACTTCATAGCCTACTACCGATCGTTTCTTTGTTTTATCGTTATTTTTAAAATAATATCAATCCTCAATCTTGCGGTTCAAAACCCTAACTAATACCCAAATCCAAAAGACACCTGCTTAAATTCTACATTTCGAAAGAGACTCTTCCGAATCATACCCAATCACTTCAAGATATTTCCTTGATCTCTTTACTTTTTTTTTTTTTAATTGTTATTGTTACTATCGTAAGTTAGAGTATTTTCAAACGAAAATCTGTCTCTTGTAAATATATTCTCTCTTATTGGTTTTACATAGAAATTTGTTGAAAATGTTTGATGGGTTTGTTGTTGTATCCTCACATTTGCTGTTTCCAAGTAATAATTATTCAATTTTTAATTGGGTTTGTTCATAACTTATATTGAAAGAATAGTAGGCATAACGCTTCATTTATCTCAGGTAATTCTTTTCTTGTTTGAACTAATTTATCAATAAAAATGGAATGGCATCTCAAGTTCTAAGGCTTTTGCTGGTGATGACAGTTAAATTTTAACAAGAGAATGTTTTTGTGCTATAGGACACATTCTGCATGAATAGCTGATTGGGGAGTGCCCCTGTTTTACTTGCTCACTTTGCGATGATTAAGAATGTCCAGACAGTAGAGTTCATGAATGCTTTAGTGGTGTCAATCTCCCTCACTGCCTATATATTTATTGGACCAGTTATATCTATATATCTATATATATATTGAAACATATTAATGAGGTGATATTGTAGAATTGTACACATGGTGTTGTAATGAATTTTAGATAAATGACTATATAAATTGAATTGAAGTATGTAAATATACATGCTGCTGTTTATTAATTAACCATTATATTTATATTAATCTACTATGAAATTTTATTTTAATATTATAATAAGACAAAAGTTATAATCAATATTTGTTATTAAAAAATCAAAATAGTATAAGTAATAAGCAAAAGTGAGCAATGACATAAAACAATTGAACAACAAATATAATCAACGTGTACCGCATGTCATAAAAAGACTAGTCAAAATAAAAACCTGAGGATAATAAAAAGTTAAAATAACAAAGCTCAGCCTAAATTTATGTATTCCCCGTTTATTTTTTTATCCGAGTGAAACTCAAAGCATTGCTATTAATATGGATCAAAACATTCTCCAGAATTAATTGCTTTGAGTTTGGGCTATTTGCTTTCATTCGTTGGGTTGGACTCAACTGTTCTAAATAATAACCACACTTTCCAATTCAAATCCTTAAATAAACTTACAATCCATCTGATTCACTTTTCCTTCTTCCTTCTCAGCCTCCATTTCCTCTCTGTCAACTATGTCAACAGAAAAGAACCAAATCCCGCCATTGGAGCCGATGCAGTCTCTTTCTGTCAACTCCTCCGATTCGAACACCGCCGCATTCTCTTCCTCCCAGTAAGCCCTCTTTATCTGTCTATATATATTAGTATTATTATTGATTATATATATATATATATAATAGTTCAATTTAATTGTTATTTGCATTGAAGATAATGGTCATCTTGGTTCTTGGATATCAGGATGAGTGCCAGAAGAGAGGTTTCGTATCGTGAGAAAGCATTGGAGTAAGAGGTGTATACTCAAGAAGATGAGCTCGTCATCTTTCTTCCAAGGAAGCCCCAACCTTATTTGCTTAATGATTGGCTTCGAGCCTCTGGAAGAATGCACATTGCAACAGGTAAGCTCATTTCTCTCTTGAATTTCTTCAGAACTTGTTCTGGTTTAAATTGTTTTTGGTCACTTTCTATTTTTAAATGTTTTCCTCTATTTGATATTTTCATCAAATCATTTTGTTTTATGTGCTAAACAGGGAGTTATGAAGAACAATCAGTGTGAAACAAACTGAACTTTCTGCTGGGCTGCAAGGTGAGATTTGGATTGACCTGCTGGCTGCAAGGTGAAGATTTGGATTGCTGATTGGTTTGCTCAGCTAAACAACAAAATGGGAGGCGACTTGAAGAAAATTCAAACAGTTGGACGTTATTTAATTGAGATATGGAAGGCAGTTGGTATGGATCTTGAAGGAGGTAAAGTAGAATTTTTATGGTCTTCAGAGGAAATTAACTCTAGAGCATCTGAGTATTGGCCTCTTGTAATGGATATAGCTCGTAGGAACAAGCTCCCCAGGATAATGAGGTAAATACTAGAATAAAGATTGACATTTTCCTTCATATGAAATCACCTTTATCATTATTGAACAAAAAATAATGCATTTTTTATCTTTTTTAGGTGTGTTCAAATAATGGGTCGCAGTGAGCAAGATGAGCTGACAGCAGCCCAGATACTTTATCCATGCATGCAGTGCGCTGACATATTTTTTCTGAAGGTATTTGTACTTATTATGTTGTATGTAAAGATCTCGCTGTGTGGCCCAGTAAACATTCTGATGAACTTCTTAAATAGGCGCTGGTCTTTTTTGATAGCATATATCCTGAAAGTAGGAGTTAAATTGAATTTTGAAAGGTCTTGATGTTCTCTAATTTTTTGATTAGTAGGATGAGTCCTCATCCTCTGTGGTGAAAAGTTCTAAGGTGATTGATAAATTTACTAGGATCCATAAAAAATAATAACCTTCATCTTTAGCAAGATGAAAGCACAAGCAACACACTACTAGGCATTGTGCTGTACCAAGTTGAACTGAGTTAAACATCACTCCTTAATCTTTGAATGAAGACGGCCTGTCGATCATGATTTGCAATATTCCATCTCCTCATGTTGATAGAATATATTGTAATTGTATTTCTTGTATCTCATCAATTGATTACATAGGTCTATATATAAGGAATTCCTATGCTACCTAGCTATTTTCATATTCTCGGTCCATAGGCCATTCAACATGCTATTCTCGTCTCCAATAGCTTTACTTCGTCCATAGGGGCTCCATGGCAAGGCACCATGGGTAGGGATGCTGGACTGTACTTCGTCCATAGGGGCTCCACTACTACTTTCAGCAAAGCACAATACCATACTCAGCAACTGTACCCACTTCATTATAGCAAATATAGAATCCCAAACCAAATAGTAGTAGCAATCAGGACAACACACTTAGTTGTCGAAACAAATTCTCACTATTGAACCAGAAAACAACTCACAGGGCTGTTTTCCAAGCTTCCATTAATCAATGCCTCAGAGAGGAGGCCAGTAGCGCAGAATATTCAGAAAACGCAGCAAAGGAAATTGGCAAACAGATCACACCACTGCAAGGCAAGAAAACACAATCAACTCACTGGGGGTTGCATCTGCTCTTGACAAAAGAGAAGGTTCAAAAGCAGAAATACCTGTAACTGCAGCAAATGGCTAATCTAAACCCTAATGCAAAAAGGACATCACATAGAAAATCACCGAAAATTACCTAATTTGTCACAGCAATGGAAACAATATGTTTCCTTAGCAAATTTAAAGCCAACCAACAGTAGCAGAGGACTGCCCGACACAGCTTGCAATTTAGAATCGCAGCAAATCAATCCTATTGAATAAAGGGCCCAAGATGACATGCAACTCACTGGAGTTGCACGTCTCTCTTCAAGCCAACGCTGGAAAAAGATGCGCAGGGCGCGAATGAAACCAGAGTAGAGAAGAAAGAATGGGTGGCGAGTGTGGCCATTTCTCTTGGAATCCGGCCGATCCGGATTCTCGAGAGTCAGCTAATTGGCGGCTGGAGAAATATCTAGGGTGTGGCGTTGAGGCAAAATACTAAACCAGGCTTCCCTTAGGGTGCAAGTGGCTTCTCATAAGGAAAGTTGCTGGGAAAATTTTCTCTTTTTTTTTTTTTTTTTTATTCAATGGAGGCTCTGATACCATGTGTGAGGACTTATATTTGTTAATTTATTTCTTGTTTATCTCCATCATATTGATTACATGGTCTTATATATAAGGAATTCCTATTGCTACCTAAAGCTATTAGGAATACATCCTATGCTACCTAGCTATTTAGGAATACAAATCATAAACTAATTAGGAATCTAACTCCTAATAGAACTCTATTTACAACTAATCCTTAACACCTCAAAAGTCAGCTTTGTGAGATAAGGGCTGCAATTATGCTATTAACTGCTAATCCCTTTAGCTTTCACTCAATAAACTTGGTTTTTCCCCTTTCTGAGAAGAGGATATCAATTTATCACAAATTCGGCTGAAAAAATTGTTCAATTTTGTGCAGCAACTCCGATACCAGTTTGACTTTAAGTCGACAACAGTTTTTTGTTTATTACAATGTTGAAATAAGGCAAACCAAGCTGAGCTTCATCAGCCATTTTTTTTGTTTATTACATCATTAAATGTCGTATATTCAATCTTAACTTGCATATGTTCCAATTTTTGTCACCCAACAGGCTGACATTTGTCAATTGGGCATGGATCAACGAAAAGTTAATGTACTTGCAAGAGAATACTGTGATGACATCAAGAGGAAAAACAAGCCGATCATTTTATCTCATCGTATTCGCATAAACGTTTTTTTTTTTTTTTTCCAAAGTTTAAACTGATTTAATGAGCTTACTTTATTTCTTTTTCCTTTGATTACTCCTTTGACTCTGGTTTCTGTGGATGCAGACATGCTTCCAGGTTTGCAGCAAGGGCAGGAAAAGATGTCAAAAAGTGATCCATCTTCTGCCATCTACATGGAAGACGAAGAGGTATGTTTCAGTTTATACAAGCATAAATAAATAACATTGAAAATGGATCGGAACGGATTTCTCTTACATATAAGCTAGCATTTTGTTACGGTAGTGTTTTATTATTATCATTACTGTTATTTATTTTATTAGTCTTTTTTGTTGCTGTTATAGGCGGAAGTAAATGTGAAAATAAAGAAAGCATACTGCCCTCCAAAGATTATTGAAGGCAATCCTTGTCTAGAATATATCAAATTCATTATCATCCCATGGTTTAATGAATTTAATGTGGAGCGAAGTGTGGAAAATGGTGGAGAAAAGTAAGTTGTATTACATTCCAATTCCAGTTCCGTTTTGCCTGTTTTTCTTTTAGCAAAGGCAAGATTTAATTCTTAGGAGAAGAGAAGAGTACTTCAGCTCTTCCTTTTTTTCTGTGTCTTAATCATTGGCATTGCATATGCTTTCTTAGGTTCTACAGCTCATCGTAGTAATCTCACTGTTATGCTAATATTTACTCATGATAGCTTTCAATGAGCTTCATCTTGATGCATTTACATCCTTCTATTGATTTAGGACCTATAAAAGCTTTGAAGAACTTGTTGCTGATTATGAAAGTGGTGATTTGCATCCTGGTGACCTGAAACCTGCTCTGTCTAAAGCAATAAATGAGATACTGCAGGTAAGCCTTTTCTGCCTCTCTTATGCAAATAATTATGTTAGACCTATACTTGCGATCTTCGATATCTAGAGAATAAGAATGTGTCTCACTTGGCTTGTTGCAATCTTGTCATAATTGAAATGGAAAATATATGTGAAATTGAAAGAAAAGGTATCAAGGATGTTCCATGGATTTTCTAATAGTGGCAGTTGAAAAAACTAGGAACATTTTATTAAACTTGTTTCTTCTTTTTTAAAAAAATATTTGTATTGTGGTTCTTTTCTTTGCAATGATATGGTTCTTCTGAAACCTTCCAAGATATTTATTTATGTGAAAACCCTCAACATGTTCAAAGTTGTTTGCTCTGTGATTTTAACAACTTATTATTTATGTGAAAACCCTAAACGTGTTCAAAGTTGTTTGCTTCGTGATTTTAACAACTTATTATTTATGTGAAAACCCTAAACGTGTTCAAAGTTGTTTGCTTCGTGATTTTAACAACTTATTATTTATGTGAAAACCCTAAACGTGTTCAAAGTTGTTTGCTTCGTGATTTTAACAACTTATTATTTATGTGAAAACCCTAAACGTGTTCAAAGTTGTTTGCTTCGTGATTTTAACAACTTATTATTTATGTGAATTTATCGTTTGTGTATCCGTAGCATTCACCTTATTGTTTCTATGCACTATTAGTACCTGTTTAGATGGGTTGAGGCCTGAGGGGGAAGGCAAGGGAAGGTTTCATTAAAGGACAGTGCAGTTAAAAATTTAACTCTCTTGTTTGGGATTAAGTGGACAGGTTCATCAAAGTGTTAGAATTGCAAAGTCCCATTCTTAAAAATTGTCAAATTTGTAGTAGCGTCTGTTGCTTGCATGTTTACCTTTATACATTATGCGAAAGCAAGTCGACAAGTGTTAAAGGGTGGGATGTAATGGACACCTCCTAACCTCATTTGTGGGTGATATTAGGATGCAAAATGTAGTTACTAGAGATTGAATGTTAAACATTTATTGACATCCATACCCATTTTTCTTAACTTCCAAACGGAGGTTAAAGGATGGAATGCAAAGATCTTAATGATTTTTATTTTATTTAGTGAGATTTGCTGTGTGGTGTATCTTAGTTTATGTTTGGTAAGCTCATAGTATGCTTGATATTTGCCACAGCCTGTGCGTGATCATTTCAAGAATGACGCTAATGCTAAGGATCTGTTGAAACGGGTTAAGGTTTGTGTTCTTGTTTTTGCTTTGTTATTTTGTCTGATTGTTAACTAAGTTAAGCCTGTAACTCATTTTATTTACCTTGAAAATTCCGGCTTGATATTTATGTGAATTCAGACTAGATTAAGTTTGTTGGAAGAAAACAGACCCTAGTTACTATTTGGCTAACCTTTGGGTAAATTGGGTTAGGTCAAGATAAGTGGGCCTTGTTAAATTTGAACTAAACTCAGGAAAAGGTGTTCAGCTTGCTTGGCCCAAAGTGTAGAAATTTTAAACTTGAAAAGGTTATTATAAAAATCTAATTTGCAGATCCTAATAGAGGTATATGTTTTAATGTTTGCATTGTGGTCCAATATTTTCAAATTATGTTCAAATTAAATCTTAAATCCCTCTACATTTGAGAATATGACTATATATGATGTCCTTAACTTACAAGCCGGGGAAATCATAATTCCTTTTTTTTTTTTTTTTTTTTTTTTTTTTTTTTTAAAAAAAAAATCATTAATTCCCTTCCTTTTTTTATTTTTTTTTTTATTTTTTTTTTTTTTTTAAAAAAAAATTTTTTTTTTTTTTTTTTTTTTTTTTTTTTTTTTAAAAAAAAAAATCATAGTGTAGTTCAACTAAACATGTTGACAATCCTAACTTGTGGTAAAATAGGCATATAGTCTTGTTTCAGTTTTTGGATGCTTTTAAATTAAGAGTCTTTATTTATTTATTTATTTTTTTTTATCCCATTTCTCTTCTTTGTAATCGATTTTTGTTTTCAACATGTAGGGATATAGAGTAACAAGATAATCAAGAACATGAACATCATCTGTGTTAGCTACAATTGGCCACGACTCCTTTAGTGTTACAAGGTTTTAGTTTTGTGCTTTTTAGTGATTGGTTTAGATTTCACATTTTGACTCTATTTAGCCTTTAATTCTTCACTATATTTATAATGTAAGAATCATTGTATAAACATCTATTAAAATTATAGTCGGGATTAAAAATAATTAAATATAGAATAGGGGAAAATTTATTTTGTTAGTTTTTTGTTATTTTTTAATTTATTTTTATGTCATTTATGGAATTTTTTTTTAGTTTTGGATCTTATAACTATAGGAAAAGTGCAACAAATTACATAAAAAGCTTAGGTAACCTCACTCAACCAGTTGAAATAATTGATACGGAGGAGGGTAATTTTGTCCAAACAAAATTTTTCTCTCCGTCAGTAATATTTTCAATCACTGCTTTGAAACACCACCGTGGATAGAATTATTAAAAATATCAAATATTATAAAAAATTTTCAACATAAATATTTTATTTTATTTTAAATAAATTTATTATTTATAACATAAATTTATTCAAAATTTTGATCTCAATTTATCAGGTTGAGATTTAAAAATTTTTTAATTTGGAGGTCGTGAAGTCCCCAAAAATCATCGACTACTCATTAGCCATCCTAAGCTGTAATCTCAATGGACATAAATATTATATAAAATATTATTATTTTTATATTGATAAGTTTTTATTTGGATTAAAATAAATATAATTGTTTAATTTGTATAAGATTTTGTCGTACAAACTACTTATGATGTTACTTTTTATATATTTAATTCTTTTTTTTTATAATGAAAGTGGTCTCAAAATAAAATTTAACAAAATTTCTAAATCTAATTCTTCAGTTCCTAATTTATAAATGCAGATTCTTGAAATCTTAATAAGTGCCTAAAAAAAAAATCAAGTTATCATTCAATCTCCAACTCCTGCTCTCAACACCAAATCAATATATATATACAACTATAATGAAAAATATTAACAAATTAATTTTTACTGTTAGGTAAAGAAAATAAATGAGAAGCTGAACTGAATTGACAATATTACTAAGTGCCTTAGAAGAAAGAAATATATGCACATGAACGCAAATTCTTGAAACCTCAACAAGTGACCAAAAACGGAAATATGTAATTTTAGTTTTTTTTTTTTTTTTTTTAAGTTTCGTAAACTCTATTTTCTTTCAAGTCAAGTAGATTTAGAATATAATAGAAAAAATATCAAGAAAATTAAAATATTTAATTATCAAGAGGTCATCTATTTATTACAAGAAAGATATAAATCTCTTACTAAATTAAAGTGATAGTAGTAACAAATTAATTCAGTAACGAAAAAAAAAATAAAAAATTTGTTATTAAGAATATAACTCTTTTCAAAACTCAACATACGACAAGAAACAAATTATATTAAAAAATGACCAATTTGAATTTTAAAAATCAACCTAGTCTTTAATTGAAAAAGTCGTAATTTTATGGAATTTGATGTTGATGTCAAAAATAAAAAAAGATTAGGTAAGTCAATAAATGAAAATTACAATACAAATCATGCTAGGATCTAACTTTGGTTCTCTATTTTTTTAAGTTGCAAATTTAAAATAAATAAATAAGTTAATCAATTAATAAAAAAGATTACATAAAAGAAATATTCTATTTTCGCCAAATAAACCCTCAGTTTACCCATAATCATATAGAAAAAGATGAGTGTACTTTTTTCTTTTTTCTCTCTTAAATAAAATATTATATATATTCTATTTAAAAATTTATTTTTAGAACAATATATTCAATCAAAATATACAAAAATAAATAAAAAAGAATATTAATAAAAATAATATATATTTTCTTTTTTTATCTCTCCTAAATAAAATATTTTAAATTATAATTTTAAAAATAAAATATAAAAATTTTCAAAAAAAGAATATTTAATTAAAAAATTAAGTATTATTTCTTTTTTTTATCTCTCCTAAATATAAGATATTTTTAAAATTATAATATTTTTAAAATTAAATATAAAATTTTTTCAAATTGTCTGCAACCTCCTAAATAAAATATTTTAAATTATAATTTTAAAAATAAAATATAAAAATTTTCAAATGTCTGCAACACAGTCTGGACATGTGGGAAGAGCTATCAGGTTCAATCCCACTAAACACACCTGCAGGGAGGGGCAAAGAGCCTTAACTGTAACTAAATTTCGAGTCGAATTAATTGGTCCTTGGTAATAAGGTTTGAATACCGGTGGTTTACAAAAAAAAAAAAAATTCAAATGTCTCGTTATCATGTATATTCATCAAAAAATGAATTTAAAAAAGATAAGATGTTAAAATTTGAAATTCTTAATTATCTATATATTTTGTTTGAAAAATAAGTTTTATAAATTATATCCAATCAAATAGTAAAATGCAATGTTCTAATTGACTATGATTAAGATTATTTTAGGATATTCCAAACTTCATCAAGAGTGCTATTGAAATCACTTTATTCCTAAATTTATATATAGTTCTAGTATTCAAGTGTGTGCAGTGCACGTTGCTACTCGTTAAACATACCTGTTAAAAGGATTTTTGTAATTTATTTTTTTTATATATTTTATTAATTTTCAAAGACTATAAAAATTCAATATTTTTGGTCACATCTATCACACATAAAAATAGGTGCAAACCACCACCATACATATCTAGTAATTGATAAAAAATTTTAATAATTTTTTTACAATAGATCTTTTTCACAAAATGAAATAGTTACAAGTTAAAAATAAATAATAATTTTATCCAACATCTTGCCACATATAAAAATAAATAATATACACAAATTATTACTAATCAAATTCAAAATTTTTTGTGATAGTATAACAAAATACAAAAAAAAAAATAAATCAAAAGTTAAAATTAGTATCTCAATCATCAATAACAATAAAGTGAGAAGTCTTCAATATAGTAAAAACAAAGAAACTTTTGATAGTACAGAGTCTTCAATGAACTATTAATAATAAAAGCAAAGAAATCTCAGGTAGTAGCTGATATCTCAGAATCATGAGGATCTCTTAAGAATGAATGATACTTGATTGTATTAGGTAAGATGAATTGTCATTAATCTTTATTCGGAAGAAGGTTCTCCCTTATATACCTGATGTGAACGCTAGGTAGGTTGCGCGAATAATGGGGGAGAGATCTTTGGGCATTATCTCCTAATATCACGCCCATATCCTCTTTCTGTTATTTTGTGCAGTTACATAGTCCTCAAATCTCATTAAAATTGGTGTTTATCACATGTCCCCCCCCCCCCCTAAAATTGGTTGTTTATTCACATGGTGTTCCCCCCCGCCCCCCCCCCCCCGAAGAGAGTTTGATAGACATTTATGTCGAGAAGTCTTGAATATTTTGGAAAATGCCAAGACATGCTCGGAGCCTTGACCGCTCTTTTTTTCCTTTCGACCCGAGCACACAGGTGTAGCTGTATTTGAGAAGATGACTTTCAGGACATCACAACTAGGGTACCTGGGTTCTTGGATATGGCGCTTGTTTCTGAAAACGGGAGCATAATAAAACCCCCCCAAGAGAGTATGATGACATTTATGTCGAAGTCTTGAATATTGAAATGCATGCTCGGCAGTTGACCGCTCTTTTTCCTTCGACCCGAGCTACACAGTGTATTGAGAAATGGCTTTCAGGTACAACTAGGTACCTGGGTTGGATATGGCTTGTTCTGAAACTGTGAGCTATCAACTTTTAATTGAAAGGTGTTTGGGCCTGAATTTAGCCCATCTAGACTATGGGCTTAGGGGTTGTAATCAGCAGGTGGTAACAGGATAGGGTGCGACATAACCATTGTTCTGATGGTGGGTTTTTGCTTTTTGAATTTTGAAAGGTGACTCTTCACTTGTTGTGGCGCTTCAGTAATCACTGACGGTTTGTGGGGTTTTTCTTACTATAAAAAGGTGTTCTCAGCAACATTTTGGAGATTTTTATACTATTGCTTCAAGTTTACTCTTGAAAACATCTGCCTCATTTCTATACCTGCTTATTTGTATGATTCAGGTAACATTTACTATCTTTTCTCTGAGAGTTTCCCAACTATCTTTTATTTTCTTTTCCTTTCATTATGAGTTCCAGTCATCAATCAAAGGGTAAGGCTCCTATTGAGTCTCCTAACCATGGAGATGACCGAGCATATTTAGAAGATGACAACTATCTTTTGGGGGTGGATTTCGAATCTGATTTTGAGGATGAAGCTGGTTCAATCTGGAGGAGGTTGCATTGGATTTCTTATTCAGGTAATTGAGGTGACTAGTCCTTTGTTGTCTGTTCTAGGTCTAGTCCCCTTATTCCCCAGTTGCGAGGCAAGACAACTCCTGAGCAATGCCCTGAGGCTAGGATGACAGGGGCCATGCTTGCTCGCCCTCAACAAGGAAGCATTTCTGCTCATCCCTACTAAAGGAATCCAACTGCTCGGCCCTGCAAGGAAAATGGGAGGGTGCGGGATATGAGTTCCATATTGTCTGAGCGCGATTTGGAGGGCATTCAACACGCACTACTTTATCCCTGATGAATATAGAGTCAGGGTTCCTTCTTTTGAGATGAGGGCAAATGCCGGACTCGATTAGAAGATTCTTATTATATACGCTGAAGATTATTGAGTGGGCGTGTGATTCCCTCTCCAGAAAATCCTTTTCGACTTTTTAATTTGTGGGGGGTGACGATTGGCCAGATTGCCCCGAATAGTCTCTACACAATCCTAGGGGTCGACATAATTGCTCGTCAAGAGGGTTTTGAGCTAAATGTGCACCAGCTGCACAACATGTTCAACTTTATTTAGAGAGGGATTGAGGACCATCCTCACCTTACTGCTTAGAAGGATTATAACATATTTCCGTTGAAGAGCTCATCCATTAAGGAAGGTGGAAGGAGAAGTACTTCCTCATTGGTCATCCTCGGGGTTTTGGGATACCTTCCAACTGGAGGTCCACTGCTCCCGAGTTAAGGCGTCCTCAAATCTTGAGTGATATCGAGTCCAGGCAAATCAAGACTCTAAGGTGTTATGCCCATAATCCTGCTCCCCTTGTTCCTTTGCTAGATGCGAACACCCCAGTGGGTCGTAGGACTCGAGTCTTAAAGAAAAAGGGTTCACGGGAGACTGGGGGTGAGTTAAGTCCTAATCATTTTCTTCTTCTTCTATTACTGACCTTTCATTTTAACTTTTCTCATTTTTATAGGAAT